TGTGTGTGTGTGTGTGTGTTTGAGTGTGTGTGTGTGCGTGTGTGTCTGTGTGTGTGTGTATGTGTGTGTGTCTGTGTGTGTGTGCAGCAAAACCTTTTCTGGTTTGGTGTACAACAATGATTTACATGAACAGTATAATTTTAAAAAATAACATACAAAAAGGACCATGTAAAAAAAGTAAACAAAAGACATAATCCTCTCAAAAACATGGAAATGGTTTTAAAAAAAGAGAGAATTTAATAAACCAATGAATTTAAAAGACAGACATCTCTCTGCATATATTGCTGCTAAGGTTCAGATAAAGGTTGTTTTTTTCGTTGAAATGTGTTTGTGTCTTACTGAAATGAGTCAAATACATGCTTTGGAAGCTGCTTGTTAAGATTTCATACAAATCAATAATTCATCTCTGTTCAACAATCATATTGTCAAGGCACTAATAATGCTTGTTGCAAAACATCTGTGAAACACAAGATATAAAACTCAAAAAACAACAACAACAACAGAAGAACAAGGAAGAGTCCTGGGATACAGATGAAGTATGAGCACTTAGTGGTCCTCATTCCTGTGACTGTGGACAGACACGCTTCTCTCTTTATTCCCTTTCGATCCTCTGATATTTCCAGAATCATGTTAATTGAGGTAGATCACAGGAGCAGATGAACACTCCTATGGATCAATCTGCAGACCGATCATGTGAGATACAGCGGGACGTTTACATCCAACGACCAGATTCACCTCCAAACACTGTATCACTGTATCAAATTAATTCACTTATTTACTTATCTTATAAGTAATCTTATAAGCTTATTTACTTATTTATTTATCATTAATGGCTTGGCATATGTGCTTGTTCAGTCAAGGCCTCAGTGGCAGTAAATGTGAACATGACACGATCGACGACGGTCGCAACCAAAGCTGAGCTCACTCTGGCTCGTGTGAGTGAGTGAGTGAGTGTGTGTGTGTGTGTGTGTGTGTGAGTGTGTGTGTGTGTGTGTGTGAGTGTGTGTGTGTGAGTGTGTGTGTGTGTGTGTGTGAGTGTGTGTGTGTGAGTGTGTGTGTGTGTGTGTGTGAGTGTGTGTGTGTGAGTGTGTGTGTGTGTGTGTGTGAGTGTGTGTGTGTGAGTGTGTGTGTGTGTGTGTGTGAGTGTGTGTGTGTGAGTGTGTGTGTGTGTGTGTGTGAGTGTGTGTGTGTGAGTGTGTGTGTGTGTGTGTGTGAGTGTGTGTGTGTGAGTGTGTGTGTGTGTGTGTGTGAGTGTGTGTGTGTGAGTGTGTGTGTGTGTGTGTGTGAGTGTGTGTGTGTGAGTGTGTGTGTGTGTGTGTGTGAGTGTGTGTGTGTGAGTGTGTGTGTGTGTGTGTGTGAGTGTGTGTGTGTGAGTGTGTGTGTGTGTGTGTGTGAGTGTGTGTGTGTGAGTGTGTGTGTGTGTGTGTGTGAGTGTGTGTGTGTGAGTGTGTGTGTGTGTGTGTGTGAGTGTGTGTGTGTGAGTGTGTGTGTGTGTGTGTGTGAGTGTGTGTGTGTGAGTGTGTGTGTGTGTGTGTGTGAGTGTGTGTGTGTGAGTGTGTGTGTGTGTGTGTGTGAGTGTGTGTGTGTGAGTGTGTGTGTGTGTGTGTGTGAGTGTGTGTGTGTGAGTGTGTGTGTGTGTGTGTGTGAGTGTGTGTGTGTGAGTGTGTGTGTGTGTGTGTGTGAGTGTGTGTGTGTGAGTGTGTGTGTGTGTGTGTGTGAGTGTGTGTGTGTGAGTGTGTGTGTGTGTGTGTGTGAGTGTGTGTGTGTGAGTGTGTGTGTGTGTGTGTGTGAGTGTGTGTGTGTGAGTGTGTGTGTGTGTGTGTGTGAGTGTGTGTGTGTGAGTGTGTGTGTGTGTGTGTGTGAGTGTGTGTGTGTGAGTGTGTGTGTGTGTGTGTGTGAGTGTGTGTGTGTGAGTGTGTGTGTGTGTGTGTGTGAGTGTGTGTGTGTGAGTGTGTGTGTGTGTGTGTGCGTGTGTGTGTGTGTGTGTGTGTGTGTGTGTGTGTGTGTGTGGCTAACCAACCAATGCGACACATTCTTTAAAACAGAAAACAATCCCAGTTTATGTCAAACACTGATGTCTGCGCTGATGCGGCTGGAACACATGAAAATCATCCTGTAAACGTTCCTCGTCAAACACAGACACCATAAAATACTACACCGCTCAATACTACTCTCACTGAGAACTCTGGCACAGCATCGACTGCTCTACACATTAAAGCAGCATTAATGTTTCCTCAGCTGCTACTTCTCAGTCAATACATCTTAGATAACTGCATATGTCGCCATGCAGTGACGTTTCCTCTAATAAACACTCGTGGCTAAAATGTGCATTTGCTAAAACGTGTTTGGAATTTTCCACGCTCAGGAGAAAATGAATGCATCGTTCCCCTTTAAAACAATCATACAAGTGACTTCATATAGTCTGACATAAAACAATTCATAGCTAGATTCTAAGAGTGCAGCAAACATAAGCTGGTTAAAATAAAATCCCATGCATCTTCTCTCAGGGCTTCACCAGCAAACATCTTCCCTTCTTATCCAATGATTGTCTAACCTTTCCCTTTTAAAGCCTAGAAACTCAGTACAAAAATATTCAAGGAAACGTTCTGAAAGATGCATAGCTCAAAAATCACATTTGCGGAGAAGCCCTTTTTTATGCCTGTTCCGCATTTTCCTGCAGGGATTGAACACACACACACACACACACGTCAGTCTCTCCGCTGTAAACCTTCACGGCTCTCAGATGACGGACTCGGGGTCCTGAGCCTTCACCTCTCCGTCTGCACCGTCCCGCGCACCGCTCTTGCTCTCCAGCATCTTCTCGGTGGTGTCTGCCGCTGTCTGCGCCTCCTTCCTCTTCCTCCGTGCCTCCACCCACGGGATCAGACACAGCACGGCCCCCCCGATGATCGGAGGAATGCCTGCCAGGTAAAACGCCACGTCATAGCTGCCCAAACGGTCTCTGAGGAACCCTGCATACAGAAACAGACAGACAGGTCAATGAGGCCAAATTTACACCGCAAAGTGCCACAGAAGCGCTTCTGTCTTTTGCATTTGAAAGCTGTTCAGAAGTGGCATAAATGAGATAAATCCTATCTCACTGGTAGGTCTTTCAGGGTGTCTTGGGGAGGGGCGGTCTCCAAATCACATCAACTGGTCACTGGGGTTCCTCAGGGATCAGTTCTTGGACCCCTCTTCTTCTCCATATTCACTACATCACTGGGTCCCATCATACAGGCACATGGCTTCTCCTACCATTGCTATGCTGATGACACACAGCTCTATCTCTCATTTAGGTAGCTGCACGGATCTCAGGCTGCCTGGCAGACATCTCGGCATGGATGAAAGAATATCACTTACAGCTCAACCTGGCAAAGACTGAGCTTCTTGTCTTCCCTGCCACTCCCAACTCTACAGTATGATTTTTCCATCCAGCTAGGTTCTTCTACAATTACCCCATCAACTTCGGTCAGAAATCTTGGTGTAACTTTTGATAACCAGTTGACCTTCAAAGACCACATTGCAAAGACCGCTCGATCTTGCAGGTTTGCATTGCACAACATCAGAAAGATCAGGCCCTTTCTAACGGAGCATGCTGCACAACTTCTTGTCCAGGCCCTTGCCATTTCTCGGCTGGACTACTGCAATGCTCTTCTGGTTGGACTTCCATCATGCACAATGCAGCGGCACGACTGGTCTTCAACAAGCCCAAAAGAGCCCATGTTACACCTCTCTTTATCTCCTTGCACTGGCTACCGGTCGCGGCACGAATCAAGTTCAAGACGTTGATGCTTGCATATAGAACAGCCACAGGCTCAGTACCCGCCTACTTCCACTCACTACTACGAATTTACATCCCCTTCAGAAGTCTGAGATCCGCTAGTGAGCGACGCCTCGTGGTACCATCACAGAGAGGCTCAAAATCACTTTCCAGAACATTCTCGTTCACCGTTCCTGGCTGGTGGAACGATCTTCCCACCCCTATCCGGAATGCTGAATCCCTGACAATTTTCAAGCGACAGCTGAAAACTCATCTCTTTCGAAGCTACTTGACTTCATCATAAAAAAAAAAATAAAAAAAAATAAAAAAAATATCTCTCTCTTTATTTATTCCTTCTCTTTCTAGCTTGTACTTATTTGAACAATGTCTAAGAACTTGGTATTACAACCACTTCTTGTGTCTGTTTGCCTCTTTAAGAAGAATCGCTTTATGTATCCCCCAATTGTAAGTCGCTTTGGATAAAAGCGTCTGCTAAATGACTAAATGTAAATGTAAATGTAAATAAATGCATTTCCACAGCAATTACAACCGTATACCTTGATACTCGGACCTGAGGTCACTGAGGGTCTGGCGTGATCTAGTCCAGCTTTTATGCATTGCCTCTTTACACTGAATTTTAAGCTGGCCTTCACTCAGCTGTACAGACGACTTAAATCAACTAAATCGACACATTTTGAACAAATGAGTTGTGTGTGTGTGTGTCTGTGTCATGTTTACTTAACATTTTTAGTACTTTTACCAAAGTCTTAACTTTTAGAGCTTAAATTTACAGTACAAAAACGTTCATAATTCTAATTTTCTTGACAGTTTTTCATATTTGCTAAGACACTAAACCCTATTCTCTAAATCAAATTCTCAATACCCTAAACCAATTAGTCAAATAAAGCACTCTTTCTGCAAAACCTTAAACAAGTTCAGGCAGTTTAGACACTGTTTGCTGATCTCATGCACTCTTTTTGCAAAACTCTAAACTCATTCTCACTCACTAAAACGCAATGCGTCCATGCAAGTGTGTGTGTGAGAGAGTGTGTGTGTGTGTGTGTGAGTGTGTGCATGTTTTTGTGACAAATGAGGACATAAATGTGTATAATGACAAAGGTATGACGGGTATTACAAGGAGAAGGTGACTTTTCAGGATATTACCCCATGTCCCCACTTTTCAAAACGCTTATAAATCACACAGAATGGAGTGTATTGAAAATCTGAAATAGCAGAAAGTCTCCTGTGAGGGGTAGGTTTAGGGGTAGGGTTGTTCTTTTTCTTTTTAGTTACTGTTAACCAATTAACATTTTTACCATAGCTGTTACTGTTAAAATTATGATCAGTTTTTACAGTGAAGAATGCATCTGTGAGTT